ATAGGGGCCAGATTAGTGTGCAGCTGTGCTGTGTGGCTCATCGCTGCGGTGGTTGAGCGCTTTTGTGATAATCCGCTCGCTCTAAATACCCCAAACCCTGGTATACGGTTTCAAAAGAAGGCTGGATTATCACCACTTTTGAGAGTGAAAAATGTCGGTAATGCGCCGCAGCTTGGTCTTTTGTTCGGAGTATGGTCTTTTGTTACAGGGCCCTGTTTCCTTTGTCCGAGTTCGGAGACCCCGGCCACCAATATAAACCATATGTCTCCGATCCCAGAGTCCCCGGCAGGAAGTGCTTATACTACTTCATAGGTATCGATAAGTTTCTGTTTTGTCAGATTTTGTATATGTAACTTGTGTATTTTGAAAATGTGTGACAGTATGTTCCAAATCGACCTGGTGCCTAACTTTGTTTTTCTAGTAGCCAGTGAATCCTCATTTTATTTTTCTCTGCACACCACTGGTATACACTGGTTTCATTAATATCTGTGAAGTATGCCTGTCAGTCTGCATGAAAAGTTCATTTTCATCACTGTCCTCTTCCAATAGTCATGCTGATGTGTCATCTGTTGGTAGTCTCACATGGCCATCTTTAGTTGGGTTACGACGGCAGCGGCATATCACAATGCCAGCCAGAGCAAAGATGGTGATGACAAGAAGGCCAATGACAATGCTGACAAGAATAACTGTGGTTTGGATAAAACAAGAAAGTATAGTACAGGTACGCTTTAATTGAAAAGTGCAAAAACCTTTTCAAGCCTTTTCACACAATTGGGTAAAGTTTCACACCCTTTCACCCATGTGGGAAAATTTTTTCGCACCTTTTCTCAGAGTGGGAAACTTTTTCACACCTTGCGAAATGAGGATCTGAATGTGAAAAGAAATTCTTATTGCAAAATTTTCACTTCCCATTGACAGTATTAACTTTCGATTGCAATGTACTGTATATTTATCAAAACTCAGAAAGCTAAAAAAAAAAGAAAACTACCAGTTTAAGGTTGCACAAATGTTAATTTCCACTTCCCACAAAGTGTATTAATGAGATATTTTGTATGCACACATACATTCTATTTACAAAGCAACCTGTTTCAGATGAGTACGTTCTCTTATTCTCATTGGAAATGCAATCAAACAGGAACATTTAAAGCATAGATACACACTGCCTGGATAAGGTAATCAATTATCATTCTGCAAGATTCATAGTGCTACTTCATCTTCACATTTACAAAAACTGAGCTCATTTGAAAGAAAAAATATTCTCACTTTTAGTGAATCTGTATTGGAAATAATGTCTAATGAATTTATCAAGCCAAGTCAGGCTTGAGTAATGGGTACCATATCCAAGTTTCATTTCAAACAATATTTTCCTTTTTAAGTAAACATGAAGTGAACAGTACTTACTTATACTGATGCTGTTGATACCAACGGATGAAGTGACACCACAGTCTTTTTTGATATCCTCTGGGACAATATCTTTGGTGATTTTGATGAACTCATCAAGCGGACAAGACATGTTACAGGTTTCAATTTTCAGAGGGTAGGGTGCTTTGGTTGTATCATTACGAAACCATATATTGACTGTGTACTTCCTAAGTGGAAAAAAAACAAACAACTTTTTGTCAAAGTGTACTGGTGGAACTTAAACCCAATTTGGGGGATCCAGTTTTGACTTTTTAAACCGAATATCTGAAATAATGATGGCAAGTGCCATAAAGAAAAACTTTTGCTCAATCCAAGCTTAAAAATCATTCCAGGCAAAATTTTTCAGCCAATTAAACTTATGAAATAAATGCATAAATAAATAAATGCATAGTATGACACAACTTTCATTAAAGGACAATGACAACCTTGGGCATGGTTTTAAGTCCAACAAAGAATATAATTATAATTATGGGACTTTAAAAAAATGTGAAGATCAATTTATACATTTCTTATTCAGATTGACAGTTGAATCAAACTCAGTGATTTTTCTGGGACAGTTTCATCACTGCAATTAATTCCTGGTTCACATAGCACCAGATATTTATGTATATCCTCAAGCATCAGGGATTCCCATTAACTTTGTACATGCATAGAGGTTCAAACTAATTAGTTGAGCATACATAGGCTCTTTACTTAACAGTGGCTGCAGCTGGGAATTCCACTGGTAGCAAACAAATGTATTGCTCTGTAACATTGTCTGGGTGTGCATAAAGTCTCACAAATTTTGGAAAAATGACCAATAATCAACATTTGTTCAGTCCAACATTGTGGTGGACTGTAGTTCTGGTATCTGAACTCTTTAGTACGTCAGTACGCCCCCCCTCAAAAAAACCAAAGCTTGGACAAGCTCACTGAGAAATATGAGCCACTTTTAATTGATACGAAAGTGAATACCACTTAAGGTAATTTAAGTGATGACTGATCAAATATCTGTGCTTCAAATTCAGCAAAGTTGAATACATTTCACTTCAAGAGAATTTCCTTGGAAACATTTGATGTCATTTTCATTTTTTTTCCAATTACCGAGAATAGAAATTCACCTTAATATCCTCAGCATGAGCCACTCATGCAGTATGCATAGCACAGGTTTTAATTTTGGAAGCCAAGGGCAGAAATCAAAGGATCCGATATTCAACTTGTTTGAAATTTGCAAACCATATTTGGGTGTTTTCCAGTTTATTCCAGCACGACTATAAAGTTATACTACTGTCAGTTGACTCATTCAAAGTTTTCATATTAATAAGATCAATTAAGAAATAACGATAGCCACGACCAGTTAGATTTTTCAATCTACTAAAGATCTAACATGGTTATACAAAACAAAGAATGGATTGGATTGGGTCTGCTTCAAGGCAGATAAGCTATTATCGTACGGCCAAAGTGTTTCCACCAGATTTTACGGGTGACAGTCACAACAATCAACATATCATTTACCCATTTTCCTCTTTCCACATCTCAACACCAACACAAGAAGCAAGAGGAGGCTGAACACCGTTGTAAATACCTAATGCTGACAGGAAGGCTGCTAGTGTTGTATCATGCTAAAAGCAAAGAAAAACAATGAGATGGCTCATGGAATCTTCAACAAAAATTGTTTGCATATGCAAAATTAATTCAAATTTAGTACTGAGTAACTGAATAACAAGTATTTGTTTTGATACACTGTTTGTGTTAGATTTTTTGACAAATTCAAGAAAGAAATAAGTGGTTAGGAAGAAAATGTCTCAAAAAGAAACCATGTGTTCTTGGGTTTGAGTTGTAATCAAATAAGCATGTCTTTGAAAGCAATGGTCACAGAGTAATTCTAACAATACATCAGTGAATGGCCAAAACCTGATAATTAATGTTAAGCCTATGATAATTACAAAGTTGAGCACTTCATTAGAAAACCTTTGCCATGACATGCTGGATTCAAAACAGTCTGGATTCAAAAATAGCTTAAAGAATGTTAATTTATATAACAGGTTTTGCCCCTACCCAGCGTATATATTGATAAACACTGTATGCTCAGTGCTTATCTGAGAGCTTGCACAAAAATTCACAAGCTTACTTGTGAATTTCAAGAAAGTTCAAAAATTCATATTTTTTTAAATCTTGAATATAGCAATTGAAGAGTGCAACAATACCAAAGTTAAAATTCCTGTGCCCAATCTTTTCAAATAACTCACAAAACATTTAGCAGAATGTTAACACTAATCCACTTTGGGTTTTCTCTAGAAACCCTGATGAACCCAAACAGAATACAACAGAAAAGTATGAGGCCTACTAAACCCAACGCAATTCAACAGATAGAACAAAGGGCCCATTTTGACTGTTCACCTCAACAAAATCCAACAGAAAGAACCCACTGTTGAATATTGTTGGGTTCAGCATGTCTAAGTACAGTGCTTTTCAGTTTTCAATGGCATCAGTGTTAAGTGAAAAAGGAGGAAATCAGCTGATCCGAGGAAAAGTTGCATGCCTGTTAATGGCATCATACTCACAGCTGAGTACACATAGATCTTCCTCCTGAGATCCTTTGGGTCAGTTGTGGTCGATTTATTCACCATGTTGTCTATGATTTGACCAACCAATGGTCCTGAATATAAAATGAGACCAAACAAGAAATGAAAACCGCTATGTAATAAAAGGACACAATTCACATATCTTCAGCTTACAAATTAAAACAAAAAACAAGTGAAAAAGCTTACCACAAAATTGCAAAGATCAAGATACATTACATTTCTCATTTTTGTCCGAAATGATTTCGGAAGCATGGTGAGCCTAAATTGGAATTTTCCATAGAAACCCCCACAAATAAGCCAAGTTACTTGCAGAAAGTGCACATTAGTCTAAGGCAGTTTAAAGTAAATCAATATTCGTAACAAAGCAAGATAATGGTAAAACTAGTGAAGGCTCAGGCTTACAATTAACAGCTACAAATCTGTTCTCAGAATTTGGTATCTCACAAGAAGGTACTCCAAAGCACCTGTTGCATAACTAACCTCCTTTAAGTCGGCTCTTCTCTTTTGTATTGAATAGAAAGTACATGCCATAATCAGACAGCTTTTTCAATGTGGTATAGAAACCAGGGACATTCGCCCATGCTGGCCAGGATAAGTTATGCTGTCTCTGAAAAAAATAATAAAGCAATTACTTTTTGTCAGAAGGCATTTAAAGGCTACATTTCTTGGTTTTTGTTGTTTCAAAGGAGTGACATGCCTTTGACAGGAGAGAGATGCTATTCATGTAGCCTAAAATTATAGCAAGGTGGCAAATAATGTGAGCGCAGAGCGCGAAGTCATTACAGCATGGGGTCAAGGGCCCTTTAGGGATAATTTGGATTCTAGGTACTCTGTGGTGTAATCTGAGGTATTTCTTGGGTACTTTCTTTTCCTCCTTGAATCAAATTTGCTAGTGTTGAAATGAAGGCGAGATTGTTATCAGGAGGTCTTCAAAAGTAGATTTTTTTTCTGGGGCATTTTCCTCTTTTTATCAGAATCTGCCATCAAGTGGATGGTTCCAGATTACATGTACATACATAGGTGCAGCATGAGTGGGTTATGTACAGTCGCTTCCCTAATTCCGGGTCTACAAAATAACTCTATGGTCAGATTCAAGCGACAAAATCCTGTAATTCTGGTGAAATATGGTCAGTCGTCCCCTTCGTGTATTGGAAAAACTACAAAATTCCTTTCAAAAACTAAGCTTGTAATCTGGGTTTACGCGATCATCCGAAGTGACAAAACTTCTAATCCGAGTCGATTAAACCAGTTCTGAATAGCAAAAATTTTTTTCTCATATAAAGATTCAGCCAGAGCAATTGTGGCAAGCTGATTTTCTAATTAAGAATTCTTGATTTGGAGAAAATTAGTTCATAAATAACAATTTCAGTGAATTAACAAGTGAAGCTTGTGTAAGTTCTGACTGGAGTTTTTAAGATGTACTGCAAGCAATCAGCAACTATCCCCTATGCTGCACAGTTGACGAACCCATTACATTACACATATAAATTTCTGATATGCCCGTGTAGTTGAGTTCGCATGCACTTACGGTGTAATCCACACCTAGGAAAAACATGCATTTAGTTTTGGCCAATTTACAAAAAACAGAACCTCCAAAAGTCACTTTGATTATTAAATATACAAGTACATTAAATGCAAACATTTTAGGACAGTTAAGTAAGAAAGAAGTATTTGGAATCACACATACAAAATGACTTATCACCCAGAATTTTTTAGTCAATTTTTGGGCTCTCCTAATTTTGGACAAACCGTTAAAAAATGGCAACGTTCAAGACAGAAATCTAGCTGACAAAAAATTTCCTTTCTAGATGTTTTGTGAAACAAAAATTTTGTACAAGAAGCTTACATTTCAGCTGAACTTGTTTGAGAATTTGGAAAACATAAAGTAGTTTTAGAAGTAAAAGAAAAGTTTTATTTCAAAAGATCCAGATCTAGGAAAAATCAGGAACTACACATACATCTAGGAAATTGGCTATACTTCTGAAGAAAAAGCAACACATTTGAGGTATTGGTTCTTGATGCTACAACAT